AGAGATGAGCATCTCTAAAACCATGAAGGCCAATGATTACATAGTGATAATAATGCCATCAATTCATGATTTAACACCAATTTTGGCACTGATTTGTGCTCATATTCCTCATAACTTACCAAAAAGGAGCCATGATGATCTATATCACTTACATCACTACATTCAATACTATATTATAATTAATGTTCACATATACCTTATCTATATAAAATAAGTGTTAGAGGAAGGAAATACGTTAGCATATTTAGATGAGAGGTACTTGGTATGAGCTTATTAAGATAGAACCATAAGGAGATCATGTTAATCATATAAAAAATATAAAAATTGGAGAGAGAGAGAGAGAGAGAGAGAGAGAGAGAGAGAGAGAGAGAGAGAGAGAGAGGGGAGAGAGAGAGACTATGGAGTTAGAGACATGGAGAGAGATAATTCATGGAAGCATAATTTTTCTCTTTTTAATTATTTATTATTCACTTATTAGTAAAATTTATGCATTTCTTGCTCCAAAAATTGGAGATGAAATTATTTTACCTTACTTTATTAAGCCATACTACTTTTGTTCATTGGTTCCACTTTTGAGTCTTTGAAAATCAATCACATAAGTCCTACAACTTAGGCATAATTTAAAAGTAAACCCACTCCCTATATATTAATATGAGTCTTCCCTCAATGCTAAGAACTAACAATTCACCTCTACTCATAACCTTATATTTATATTAGCTTTGAAAATAATCAAGATGCCTTTTAGTTCAAAATCATTTTAGAAAATCCAACATAAAATTCTTCAAAATTGTTTAAAATTGTATTAAGGGGCTTCATTGGTGCTTAAATTTCTATATAAATGGTTTGGCTTTTGGAGGAACTTGAATATATACTCATGCTTCTTTCCCATCCTTGAGCAAAATCTACTATTACTTGAGAACTTCTTAGCAATGTTTCAGACCTCTTGAATAGATTTTAGAGAAGGCACCTCATGGATTGCTCAAATTTTATTTGGATTGGCTTCACTCCATTGATTGAAACCAAATAACCTGATATTTTTTTCTTTCTAAATTTTAATTGGTACTTGACATGTCCCTTCATATAGTAATTTTTTAGAGAAGATAATGTCTCTATGAGGTCGTTGAGGTTTTCTTCATTGATTTTTCTTTTGATCAAAACACGATCAAAATATATATCAAAATTGCTTCCGATTTTGCTATGAAATATTTTATCCGTCTATCTTTAATTTGTAGCTCTAGCATTCTTAAGACAAAAGAACACGACTTTATACAAGAAAATCTTCTAATTCATTATAAAGGTAATTTTCTCTTTATCCCCAAAGAGCACTTTGATTTGATATCATCTTAAGAAGATATTAAGCAAGCTTAATATTCAACTTCAAAACACAAAATACACCATGGCATTAGTGTTCAATAATGGAAGAAAATTCATATTTTAATATTTGATATGTATAATAGGATGGATTTGTGTTTAAATTTAAGGTTAGACTGTCATATTATAATATTAATATAATTATTTTTTAATAATATTATTATTTATTACATCCCCGGTCGAACCGTAAACCTCTTCTACTTTCGGTTCATTGTTCGGTTCGATTTTTGAATGCATGATTTAGACCAATTTAAACTCTTATATGGATATTTTATTTTATTTTTTTAAACAAAAATAGAATTTATTTCAATAGAAAAAGGAGTACATGAAGCAGATAAACAGAATGATTAAAAGGAACATAAGATACAAAGGCCCATTAGGCTCAGTATTTGGTAGAGACTTCCAACTACTCTGAGAACAAGCACGAACCATCCAATTTGGAGGGAGAGCAGACGAGCACAAAATAGCAAACCAAATGACTTCAACAGAGACCCCAACCGATTAAGAAATGAACCACCAAAGGTTGCCACGGACCACGACACAAAGTAGTGAGCCCTAGCCACATCATTGCCCGAAACCTCCAGCAAAAACTCAACCACCAAAAGCAATGGGAAAATACCAACCAACCAATGCAGCCCACCCCCCCGAAATAACCCCCACATACAGATCAGTAGGAGCAAGCTCAGCATCCCTACACGATAAGCTACCTTTACGATTAGTGTGACAATTCAAATCTCCCACATCACCAAAAATAGGAGCATAAAAAATCTCCACACTCGCACCTCAAGACTAACATTCTCGTAGGGACAGATGGGGAGGGAACCAAAATACCATTAGACCGGCCATCAACGACCATAGCTAAGGGGCTGGAAACCAAGGTTTCCACAGACTCAATATTCATTAAGTTAATATCCTCAACCTCTTTAACAATAACATTATTCTCCACCATAGGCAAGACAGGACCCTCATTAACCAAAGGCACCCAGGCAACGCACAAGGATTAGAAATAGAACCATGAATGTTTTTAGTAGCAGAAAAAGGCTGATCAGCCACAATGGGAAGGGAGGAGGAAATAACCAGCTCAGGATTAACCAAATATTAGACGAAACCTTACCCGAAATCAAAGGATCAGCAGCAGGATGATAATTATCAAACAGATGCACAAAATACTTACAGGAAGCACAAAATTAAGGGTAGGACTTAGTAACATCCAACTCTACCAAAATACGAGCTAGTGATGGCCTGGAACCAATGGAGGTAGCTGAATCAATTTTCAGGGATTTTTCAAAGAGCAAACCCAAACCGTGAAGAATGCGGAGAGAGAATAGGTGAGGGTGCAAATGAGGGAAAGAGACCCAAATGTGAACAATCGGTGACTCGACACCGATATCCACAAGGGGCGACCACTTGGTAATCTTCATATAATAATTATACACTAAATAGGATCTATAGCAAACACATGACAGTAATCAAGATCATTTTTCAACTTGATAAGAATATGCTTTGAATCCAGCAGGGTGACCGAAAATTCCTAATTTAATTTGAGATTAAAGAAAAATTTTCGTATAGAGTCCAGAGACGGTCGTTTCGACCAGAAAAAAACTAACTAAATAAAACTGGAAAGGGCAGCTAATGCATTGATCTCCTCATCCGAGGTCCAAAGAGAAGGTAATCCACGAAAAGAGGAAACCCTAAGTTACAAAAAAAAAGAGTTTTTTTTTTGTTATATTTATTTTTTGATTTTTTTTATAGAAATATATTTACAGAAAATTGAAAAGAGGTGTGTAGGTTTTAATTGAAGTTGAAGCAGGGAAGGGCTTGGGCTTGCGATTGGCTTACAAATTAGAGAGAGTGGGAGAGTGACGGGTAGGGGCAAATAGAACAGAAAATGCCGAGAGACGTGAGAAGTTTAGGCAATATAGAGTATAAGAGGAATTTGGTTGGGTGTCATGAGCTGTAGGCAGTGGGGAGCTGTGAAGTGAGGAGCTGTGAAGTGAGGCGTGAAGACCGTGAGTAGAGAATAGAGAATAGAGAGCCTTGCTGTAGTTGAGTTGGGGCAAACGTGCCTAAGAAAATGAGTTATTGGCTTCATAATGGAAAAGAATGAGTAAACAAAGTTGGATTTCTCCTCTTCTGCTAGGTGTCTGAATTTTGGAAGATATGAGTGGTGAATTGGCTTGTATGAAGGACGTGTGCAAGAGCAGTTTGGTTACAAGAAGGCACGTAGATGTTAGCTGGCATTCTAATAATTCTCTAGGTGTAAATGTACATGAATAAGTTGATGAGATACTCTCATATTATATCTACATACAAATAATAACAAAATTCTTATTAATATATAAAGCTTATCATTCTAAATTTAAATATCTAACTAAATAGCTATAGTTATATTAATAGACTAATAGTACTATAATAATGTATTAATTATAACATTATATTATTTCCGAACATAACGGAGAAATTCATTTTGCAAACGGAAGACGTTTGGGCAACATCGAGTATGTCCTTAGTCAGTCGATTTCAATCGCTTTTGTTCAACTTGATTGCGCGGGATCTCTCTTTAGTTAAATTCGATGCTCTAAACTCATCGACAAAGCTTGTTTGATGCCATTTGGATAGTGTTTTGCTAGCGTCGCATCCACTTCGTGCGAGTTATTTTGTAATCGGACGAAGATTTAATCATTTCATTATAATCGAGACACTCCAATCTTCATTTTGAGCGATGTCTTATTTACCAACAATAATTGATCATCACATATGTAGCTTGCATTGATCGTGCTACATATGTAAAGGTCAACAGCAGCGACAGAAGACGAGCCTGTAAGAACATCTAAAAAAGAACGAGACGAATAAGAACCCTCTAAAAAACCCGGGTCGCAGAGCTTCGGAGCCATGCATGCACTAGCTGGAAAGACAAAGAAAAGCCAACAAACGAAAAGCCAAGAGCACAACCAGAGAGTAAGGTGAACTTCCCTGAAGGAACAGAAGGAGGCGGCGCCAACGACCGGCCGAACAACCGCACCGGAGAGAGCTAGGGCAAAGCCCTAGCAGAGCTCACACGTCAATCCCACATAATGATACACACATGTATATTTGTATTTTAAAGCGATTAAATGATATTTTGTATATTTATGAATTCATTGCATCAAGACAATTTGGATTGACTATAAATTCATTAAAAATAAAATTTTAATAATCTCTAAATCAATTAATAAGATTTCTTATCCAAATAATTGTATATTTTGATATCAAAGTTACATCAAATTTATGTTAGCTTGGATTAATTAAAGAGCCACAAGCTCTTGATTAATTAATCCATTTAATAAAAAAGATTTACACCTCTTGGTTGAGAGCTTATGCTTCCAACTAAAAGGTCTTGGGTTCGAGTCTTTGTGTATTCGTTGTGTGTATGAATTTGCCTTATTACCTAAATATCCCAAAAAAATAAAATAAAAAAATAAAAAAGATTTCAGGAACACAAGCTATTTTTGTCTCGTTTCCATATCCCTCAATCCTCATTGCCTGCAACAGATTCCCAAAATAATAATAATAATAATTGTCTGCAACAGCCAGCTCAGTACATTTTATTATTTTTTAAGGGTCGCGCTGTGCGCATGCTAGTTGTATACTATACTACCCTTTGTTAGCTGCCTGTATCCCCATTCGTTACTATATTTACTATCCATATTTTCCTAATCTCTGCGCATCTGCTCCATTAGCCGAGACGATCAACGATATGGCGACGATTTCGATCCCTGAGCACGTTCCTTCCGCTTCCGAGGACGCTGAGCAACTGCGCAAAGCTTTCTCCGGTAAGTCCGCTCTCCTTAGATAGCATCCTTAAGCTTAGAATTAGGTTAGGGTTTGGCAGAAGCCGTCGATCTAACCTGAGAAAATCTAACGCTCCCCGATCGGTGATCGGCTACAGGATGGGGCACGAACGAGAAGCTGATCATCTCCATTCTCACCCACCGCTCCGCAGCTCAGCGCCGTCAGATACGGCAGGCGTACGCCGATATCTTTGGTGAGGATCTTCTCAAATCCCTCGACAAGGAACTCACGCACGATTTCGAGGTGTGTTAGCTTACGTTTTTCTTTGCTGTCTTCGAAAGGAGAAATTATTTTGTGCGGAGTCGTCTTCGATTTATTTCTTTTAGGGTATTAATGGTCAAGGGATCGGGTTCTGATTGTTGCAGAAAGTGGTGCTTCTTTGGGTGCTTGATTCGGCTGAAAGGGATGCTGTGCTAGCCTACGATTCGGCAAGAAAATGGGGCCCAGGCGACCGAGCCCTGATCGAGATCGCTTGTGTCAGGAGCTCAGATGAGCTCTTTGCAGCGAGGAGGGCTTATCATGCTCGCTATAAGAGATCGGTTGAGGAGGACGTCGCTGCCCATGCCAAGGGAGATTTTAGGAAGGTAGCTGCTGGTTGCTGTAAACTTTTTTTTTTTTAATTGTTTGTCGAATTTTATGAAGTACGTCCAGATAAATACCAATTTAATCCTTCTTTTTTTTTTTGGATTTTGATATGTTTAATTTCTAAAAAAAATTGTTTGGCTTCCAGGTAAGGGTTTTGAAGATTAGATGATCATTATTGGGTTTTGGATTCGATAGATTAATTAACTTGTTAGATGTTAAACTAAACTAATTAATTAATGAATAGGTTAACTTGAGGTTGATTAATTAGTTTGACTGGTTAGGCTCATTTGGTAGGATTAGTCATTATTTAATTAGTATTTAGTTCCAATAATTTGGATAGCTTGCATTTTATTGGCATAATTAAGAATTAATTATACTTCAATTAGGAATTAACAAACTATTGATTAACTAGGGAGTAAGAGAACGTAAATATGAATTAATTAGTTATTATAGTGAGTAGATAAGCTATTCTGCTTAACCAGTGTTCTGTGTGCCTTGAGAATGAATATTTCGTTTTGTTAATTAGGAATAATTAATCCATTGTTATTTAAGTAATCACAGATAAATTTATTTGTTAATTTTTTTTTTGTTGACAAATTAGTCTTATATTGTTCCACCCTTCTCGTTTATTTTAAATCTTTTGCAGAGTTCTCACGTCCTTAAATGGATTTTAGGATTAAGAAAATTATTCTACATATTATGAGTATTGTCTTTTCTAATTTATCACATTGTTAATTATTTATAGTAGGAGTTTGCTCTATTTATTATCATTATTATATTTCTTTATTGTTAAATGTATTCTTCTTCATTCTTCTTATATTGTTTGTATATAGGCTCGAGGTGTGTAAATGAGCTGAGCTTGACATGCGTTCTTCTTCGATTCATTTGATTTTTTGTTTGTTTGTATTCGGCTCAAAATATTTGTTTAATCTTGGCTCATTTTAATAATGAGCTAGTCCAATAAGATTTATTTGCGAACAACTAGATTTTTTTACTGCCATAATAGGCACATATGTGCTTATACTATGAAGAAAATTCAAAAAAGTTGTAGCAGCACTTTTCGATTCTCTTTCTTATAATATGGAATTAAAGGAATGGTCTTGAATCATCTCTTTCTTCTCTACACACTTTGCTTCTGAAGTCTGACTCCTTGAAATTTGATCTCCATTATTTTCTTTCATACTTCTCTAAGACAAGGATACATTTGTGCTATGCTAGCTTCTCCCTTCAAGAGACCTTGTATTTATCATCAACTATTGAGGCACTTGACTTCATTCTCTATTTCTGACAAATTTGTCCGCCTTCGCATTCTACTTCTGTTCTCAAGCGTTGGCTGTCACATTGTCTTCTGCGATTATCTTGTCGATCTCTCTTTCAATGCATTCTATCAGCTTTCTTTGGCGACGCTATCTATTGATACCTCTGTTGACGCTCTCTATTAATACCTACATCAGTGATTTATATCCATGATTTCTATTGATATATTTATTCGTGTTTTTTTTTTTTACATAGATATCTTTAACGACTTTTTATCCCCGATTCTCAATATTCTTTTTCTCAAATTGGTCCCCTCTTGTGACAGGCATGACCAATGGGCAGTCGATAATTTTCGTGCACCATTTATAACATTAAAAGCTAAAAACGATCATTAAGGCTTCGTTTGGGACGGCTTTCTTATTGCTTCTTAAAACTATTTTTTAGTAAAAAAAAAGTAATAATTTTGTACTAGAAAGCTGCTTTAAGAAGCAATAAAAAAGCCGTCCCAAACGAAACCTCAATATCTAAAATCATTGAAACAAATTCCGCTGCGGATATCTTTGCTTTATTGGGTAGCAAATACTTTAGTTTCATCAATCCCTTATGGAGTATTCTTCTTGCCATGCTGCAAAGCATTCATCTATTCCCCAGCATGAATACCCTCCACACCTCACCCCTTTCGCCTAAGCTCTAAAAATGGGAACATGACTGGAAAACTAAAGACCTGCATTCGATCAGCTCTGCAAAGTTCTTATCTTATGAAATTTAGGGTTCGGTTAGGATGGCTTTCTTACTGCTTTTTAAATCAATTTTTTAGTACAAAAATTAAATTTTTTTACTAGAAATATGCTTTATGAGGTAGTAAGAAAGCCGTCCCAAACGAAGCCTTATTCTTGTGCCCTCAACTCCAATTTTTGGAAATTTTAGATTTTGGAACCTTGCTGTATATAAACATGAATTTCGCATGCATTTATTGAGAGGAGTGCTTGCTGTTTCATTTTATTTCTCGAAATATTCTACTATTAATTGTAAGCTGTGTTCTGAGAAAATACTATCCGCGTCCAGCTCTTACTTCCACTTGTCAGCGCTTACCGATATGAGGGTCCTGAAGTGAACCAGACATTGGCAAAATCCGAGGCAAAGCTGCTGCATGAAAAAATTGGAGATAAATCTTATGCAGATGAGGAAATTATCAGGATTCTTACTACCAGGAGCAAAGCACAACTTACAGCAACTTTCAATGCTTATCACAATGAGTTTGGCAATCCGATTAACAAGGTATAATTCTCTTACAGAAATCCCCTTCCTTCCGCAGTTGACCTGCTTTTTATTCCTTGAATATGTTGAAGTTTTCAGCCTCCAATATATTGCATTTAAGGTTTCGTTTGTGACAGTTTTCCTGCTGCTTCTTAAAACAGCTTTATATAATTTCTGTACTAGAAAGCTGCTTTAAAATGCATCAAGATAGCCGTCCCAAAGCTTCATTTGGGACGGCTTTCTTACCGCTTCTTGAAATAGCTTTTTAGCATACAAATTTTAATTTTTGTACTAGAAAGTTACGTTATGAAGTGGTAAGAAAGCCGCTCCAAATGAAACCTAAATCTTTTCTAGCACCGCATCCATTTCAGTATGCAAGTAAGTTTTCATCAGCACATCCAAATCTCTCCATTAATGTCTCGGGCGTGCTATCAAGATTGCTCTTTATATAATATAAACCTATTCTTTGCTAGTATCCTTGGCTCTGAAGCATCTTTCACACTTTTTTATTTTTTTTCTAGGACTTGAAGTCGGATCCGAAAGATCATTTCCTCTCAGCACTAAGGGCCATCACAAAATGCATAACTGCTCCGGAGAAATACTTTGAAAAGGCCATTAGGCTTGCCATCAACAAGGTCGGAACTGACGAGGAAGCTGTCACTCGTGTCGTTGCCACGCGTGCTGAGCTTGATTTGAAAGTAATTAAGGACCTGTACTACAAGAGAAACAGCGTGCCACTGGTCCGTGCCATCAAAAAGGATACTAGAGGAGACTATGAAGACTTCCTTGTTGCCCTGATTGGCGAGGAGAGTGCTTAAGCTTTCTATGGTATTGTTGTGATCGTTGAGACTGAGGAAGCGTGTGACTTTGAGGTGTGTTGCTTTTATCGCTTTATGCTTGGAATAAAGTTTTAGCTAGTCTGTGTGGCTTTTTATGCTATATTTCATGTTGTGTTTGATGGCTAACAGTAAACCAATGGTATGGATTGCAAACAGGTAAGTATTCACTATTAAAGTTTATTGCAGTGATAAGAAATTCTATCGGGGGAAAAAAAAATCGGGTAAGTATTCACTTATATTAGTTAAGACATCTTCATCTGTAAATCAATAATATAAAATAATTAAGTTTCTGTCTCATATTACACCCAATTTATAAATAATCTACAATCTTACTTGACAGTGGTCCAAATGATGTTATGTTCGGTTTTATCGCTACAAGAATTGCATCATTTTTATAATTTGTCGCCTCTAAGTCTTCTCAATCAAGTTCTGGAGTTGTCTCATCATCAAGAATCCAAAAGTCAACAAGTTCAATATTTGTGTATTCCAAAGGATCGTAACTGCTTTTCTTAACAAGTGATATATTTAATGTGCATCATAATATAAAAATATGTTTAAATGTAGTTACAAATATTAGATATTCCGTAAATTGAGATTGTAACGAATATATACAAAATCAAACACACGCCAATTCCTCTCACAAACAATTAGATAAAGATAATGTTTGGTTAAGAAGTCTAACAGCCAAATTCAATAGATTTGGAGCACTAGACCTGAACATCTTCTACCATTCTTCTATAAATCAATAAATATTAGTTTATTCAAATGCATTTAATGTAAACCAAAGCTTCACAACTCAATTAAATATTAAGTTTTCACTAGCATTTCCTTTGACATTGTTACCGGTTTTTATCGTTTCTAGGATGAGGTGGTTTTAAGGGTATTCCGAATCGGTTAGTCGATTGGTTCCCGGTCGAACCCTCAATCTGGTTTGGCCTGATTTTATAAGTCTAGGTATATACATTTTGTTAAATTAAAATTGAGTTAAGCGGTCATTTGGTTGCTCGAAAAAAGAATACTTAGTAAAATGAAATAAAGTATAAAAATAATATTTTATATTTAAAAAAATTGAAGGTATTTGGATAAGTATAAAGAAAATACTTGTGATTATTTTTCTTTTATTTGACTTGAAAAAAAAAAATAAATAAATGCAACCTAAAAGCCCATATATGATATTGGTCGATGGACAATCGACAATTAGCATCTAGCTGTTATAGTTGACACAACCACAAATAATTTATAATGTATTTGAAAATCGCCCAAATCAAATATATTTTAAATATGCCATAATCATACTAGAGAGTACACTTCAAATGCATCAAAAAGTGCATTTCTTTTATTTCAAATCAAACACTAATATACCCTTACATTTATAATAATTTACCTCCATTTTACTTCATATTAAACAATCACTAAGATTTTGTTTCGAACAGCTTTAATACTGTTTTATAAAGTTATTGTAGAGAAAATAAAATTTTAATGTTTTTAGTAAAAATTTTTGAAAAAAAGGATAAACAATTATGATTATAGTATGGAGAAGAGATAGAGAGAGAGAGAGGTGTACGCATGTCCAAATGGTAAGTTTTTAATATAGATATGGCTATGTTGGGAATAATTATTAGGTCCGGACACCGGATGTAGCTCTATATCCGGATGCCAATAACATGTCACCGCATGCTCTTAGTCTTTACTGTGCGGCCCGATGACCCGACCCAGACCGGAACCCGGTATTACTATGTTCGAGTATTGCTTGGTAATAACGAGAATTGTCGCTATGTCAAGACCAATACCTAGCAATACCGAACAATACCGAGCAATACCTAGCAATACCAAGTAATACCTAACAAAATCTGGGTATTTTTCGCAAGCAATACCGAGAAATATCTAGCAATACCTAGCAATACGCTAGTCTGCACAAATCAGCCAATACATAGCAATACCGGGTCCGGTTCGTCGGGCCGTGCGGTAAAGAGTAAGAGCACGTGGCGATATGTTATTGACGTCCGGATATAGAGCTACGTCAGGTGTCCAGACCTAATAATTATTCGTATATTGGAGTCAAAGATGAGCAGAAACCATTCATATAAATCAAAATCCTACTAATTACTAGGCCCCTCCACTAGCCCGTGTCTCCCAACCACTAATCCTTGCCAATAATTCGCTGCCACTTCAATGAACAGGACATACAGAAAAGAAAGACTTTACGAAGAACAATGCTATATATATCATATATGTGGGCCTCAATTTTTTACCCGTTAATTAAATATACATTTTAAAAAATAATGATTTTATTCCATTTATTTTGAATAAAAATTTGATTTTTATTTTTTTGAAGTTATTAATTTTGGCGATTATAAGATTTTTGAGTCAATGAGCTGGTAGGATTAGGAAAAGCTTAGGATGAGCAATCGTTTGTATTAAAATTTTTTTAATAGAATAAATATTTTAACTATTTAATTCCTCTTACTAAAAATATTTATTCAAAATTCTTTAAAAAAATTATTTTGTATATCATAGTCTTAATCCTGTTTTACCCACTCTTTTCGGGAGGTTGATCCTGCCCTAATCAATATTCGAATCAAAATTATATGTAATTAAGGGTTCGTTTGGGACAACTTTCTTACTGTTTTGTAAAACAATTTTTTAGTTAAAAAATCTCTTAAAAGTGAAAAAAAATTAGTGATTTAAAACTGTATCAAATAAAACCAAAATAATTATATATTTAATTTCAAGAAATCTAAGGAACAACAAAATCTTAGTGATCACAAGGAGAAATCCCACAGATTACTATGTGCGGAGATTGAACACAGAGAATCGTTCGATTTTGTCTTTGTTAGCAGTAAAAGGTTATCGATGAACTGTAAAAGCACAGTGATGAACAATAACTATGCTTTTATTGTTCATAGAGACAAAACCGGCCGGCTCTCTGTTTTCGACTTCCACATGTAATAATCTCTCCTTTCTAAGACTACTTTTTTCTTCAAAATATCTTTTTCTTTTCAAGCTATTAGCTTATTATAGAATGAAGATTCTTTACGATGAGCTATTTTACTGTGTAGTTAACTTCATCATTATTGTGCGTAGCATTTTGAATGGTTGTGATTTATTCCAACATAATTAGTTATTAGTTTAAAAAATTAATGAAATTAATCATCACCGCCCAAAAGATTTCATAAGCTTTAGAATTCATTTGAGGTAGCTTTCCTATTGATTTCCAAAGCAATTTTTTAGTACAAAAATATTTTATATTAAAAAATGTATTAAAAAAGCATAAAAAAACAATTCCAAATGAAAACTAAGTGACCCTTTTTGGGGCCACTGCTAAAAAAAATAAAAAATCTTAGTCATTAGTAAATTTTAATATAAAAAAAAATAATTTCTCATTCTAAAAATTTATATAAATTATCAAAAAGTAGTGGCAAATTAAAATTAAGATTATTGTATTAAAAATGAAGTTATGAGAAAATTATTCCAAACAAATCCTAAGATAGAAGTAATTGTATGAGCTAGGAAAATGTTAATTCCTCAAAGTAGAGGATATACATCTAAATTTTTTTTTTTTTTGGAATGGGGGTATCGGCCCGCTGCCACGTCACCTTGTGATGCACTTGGCGGTGTCCACTAGTCCCTCGGCGAGTCTACCAGCAACCAGCCCCACAGGTGCAGGACTCACAGTTCTTTTCTCTCCACTTAAGGAGTCGTGTCGTATGAGAGGGGATTCGAACTCGGGATGGGGGGATCCCAACCAAGCACGCCCACCAACCCACCTAAGCCCGGTGGGGTTGATATACATCAAATTTTACTTGCCTTAGATTTAAAGGTCCATTCAAAGGACAGATGCTCGACTCGACTTGACTCATTTACACTTCTACGGAATCTGTTACATTATGTGCTTGTTCAAAATCTAATTTGTATAGTAAAACCTTTGCCTTCTTCTAATGACAAGAATTTATGAGCTCATTTGGACCCTCTAATACTAATCCCACTCATTATTGTAGTATCGTATAGGATTATGTAAAGAGTTTTAAAGAGTAAAATGCACGTAGAGTATTTTTTTCTTTGTTATGTATATGAGCTAGATATTTTTATAAAATGAAGATTTCATCTCACTCTCTATTGTCTCGAATATTTTAGCATGTAATAGTATTAATGTATTTATTATTTATAAGTCATTACAAATATATAAAATCATCTATAAATTATATATTGTTTTGCTTCTCTTATAATATTTTCCTCAAAATTTAATTTTTATGATACCTTATAAGGCTTAAAGAATTGATCTCATCTAATATCATTCAAATAAATATTGACTAATGTAGAATAATAAGGCCATATAAATCTAATTTTTGTAAGCAATACATTGATTTATTCGTGTAATAACATTTTGAGATGTCTTGCAAATTGATTTTATTATCACATAAGAAGTTGATTATTAAAAAAAAAGTAAAAATAATGCATAATATTCTCATCTTTCATTTATGAAAGATTTTCTTTTTTGAGAAATTGTTCAATGTATTTTTAAGACAAGTATTGTTGAGTGCTAAAAAATTTGAGTTAGTAGTGTGTATTTCACGTCTTAATAGTATATAAAGATTCAACACGTCTTAATATTGTCTTAGAACTTGAAAGCATTGGAGGAATTTTCTTGGCCATGGTTGCAGTCAAGATTGTCCCCCAGTCCATATTTGATTTCTATAAAATTGATGCACCAATGGCTAATGTCAGGATATTGACATGAATGACCTTTCAAGATTAGAGCAAAAGTTTCCCTCCAGTCAGGAATGACGTTCCTATAGACGGAGCCAAAATGTTGTGTCCAGAAATATTTGTGGCAATATAAAAATATAAAGTCTAATGTCTTAGCTTTGTTTAAAGATCCATCATATAAATAGATGAAAGATTGAGGTATACAACTGTTGCGTGCTAGAATATACGCGGCAGTAGAGTTAGAAAATATTCGTCTTAGCGTTACACGAGTATTCCGCACACAAACAGAAAAGAGAAATGAACACCAGAGTTTTTACGTGGAAAACCCAAAAAGGGAAAAAACCACGTGACCTCGCCCAGTTGTAAAGTTCCACTAGTGTTTGTATGAAGTACAAAGGTTGATCCGTCTTACAAATCAAGATGATCAGTTTACAATCAACTTCTCACAAAGTTACAAAGTTCTGCAAATTCCCGGCGTTTCCCGAAAATTCAGCAGAGTTCCGGCGTCTTCAGGTGGCAGGAAGAGCTCTGACGGTGGTCGAGGAGGAGCTTCTTCCTTCTTCTCTTCTTCTTCTCTCTCTTCACTTGAGTCCCCTTTGTGTAGAATGAGGGCTCTATTTATAGTTTTTCTGGAGTGGCATAGCTCGTAAATAGGTGTGAGATCGTGGGCGAATAGGGAGTGGTTTGAATGGACGGCCGATGTTGAACCATTCAATCGTGCACCGTTCGTTGGACATCTGGAGGCCTTAATGATGTCGGAATTCTGTGATCTAGGGCTCGTTGGATTCCTCTCGTCGAGCCGCTCGATTCGAGTATAAGCTCGTTAAAATCGGAGACCGTTTGATAACTCAAATTGCGATTTGAATCTTCTAACAGCGCTTCGGGTCCTTGATTTGGACCCATTTAGGCTCGGATTGGATCTTGGTGTCGTTGGGTTCGTATTTCTGAGACGCTCAGTTTGACTATAAGCTTGCTGAAATAGGAGTTCGGGTGCTCCCGGAAATTATTTTTGAAGTTTCCAATTAGCTTTTGCCTCGAGATTCGTGCCCGATCAAGCTAATTTTGTGATGCCATATCAACAACGTTCATATGAGACATCAAAGAAACCTTTGAAAAGGCGAAAAAACCATGGGGCCTTTCCAAGTTTAAATGAGTCCAATAATATTTGTATTTGATTAAAATGAGGTCCTTCCTTGAGGGAAAGGTCTTGGCTTGATGTAGTCAATATATATTATATAGAATGCATTATATTGTGGGAGTTGGAAGAATCAGTATTGACACATTCGTTTGGTTAGCATGACCATAATCAACAGACAACGAATGTTAGAAAGACTATCGTTGGGTGATAATGGTCGAAAGGACCATAATCGGTGAGCGATGGAGGTCGGAAAGACCGTAGCCGAGTGACAGTGGTCATAAGGACCATAGTCGGTGAGTGACTAAGGTCGAAAAGACCATAGTCGGCAGACGACTGTGGTCGGAAGGACTTTAGTTGGCAACGACGATGGTCGAAAGTACCATAGTCGGTGGGAAACAAAGGTTAGAAAGATTATAGTCAGGTGGCGGTGGTGGGAAAGAGTCATAGTTGGCATGCGACGGAGGTTGGAAAGATCGTAATCAATAGATAATGATGGTCGAATGAGTTGTAGTTGGCGAGTGATAGATGTCAGAAAGATCATAGTAAGGTGACAGCAGTCAGAAAGACTATAGTCGGGCGATGGCAGTCGGTGTGGACCATAGTCAGTAGGCAACGATGATCTGAGTGGATCGTAGTTAGTGGGCGATGGTGGTCAGAGTGTAAGTTTGACAATAGCTGATGTTCTCGTAAAAATTTGATGAAAGTCTAGAGATTATTGGTGGTCGGGCAATGGTGCACCGACAGCTGGTGGTTGGGTAGAAGTCCAACAGCGATTGATGGCTGGGCGGTGGTTGAGGTGGAGCTTGATTGCAAGAGAGATATCCAATTTTCTCTCTCTCTCTCTCCTCTCTTCCTTCTCTTCCTTTCCTCCCTCCTTGCTTGGTCCCCCTTCACGTAAAGAATGAGGGACTATTTATAATTTTTTTTGGGAATGAAATGACCAGTAAATAGGGAGAAGAACAATGGCAAGTTGGAAGTGTTTTTAATGGACGACTGATATCAACTCCCTTGATCATTGACCGTTTATCGAGTATTTAAGTGTCTTAATGATGCTAGAATTTCTCAATCTTGGGCTCGTTGGATTCATTTTGTCGAGCCGCTCAGTTCAACTATAAGCATTCCACATTTGATGATCATTTGTTCATCCAATTTATCATTTGAACCTTCCAAATATGTTTCGGGTCCTCTATTTGGACTCATTTGGGCCCGGATTAAGTTGAGTGTCGTTGGGTTCATCTTTTCGAGAAGTTTAGTTAAATTATAAGTTTACCGGAATCAGAGTTCGAATGGCCCCGATTTAATTTTGAAAATTTCCTACTCAAATTTACCTCTACATTCGTGGCTCACCAAGATAAATTTTTGATGATATATCAGATAATATATTTAAAGAATATAAAACTCGATAAAAAAATTAAAAAAAAAAAACAATATCATTATCACCTTTAAAAATAGAAACAAGAAAAAATAGATTTGTTTTGTTTTTGTTTTTGGAGCTAACGCAGACTGATGTTTGAGAACTGATATGGAAAGAAGCCGAAGCAAAGAATAGGGCCATCATGCTTCTTGCTCAGTCAGCCCTCGTTTGCCCTCTTCTTCACCACACGGTAAATTCATCATCTCCAGCTTCCCTTTTTCACCTTCTATTTACCTCCTTTCTACTCTTACCCGAGAAATCTCAGCCCATCTTGCGACAACTCTTTAATGCCAGGAGATTGGCCTCTTTTTACTGCCGAATCTTGCGGCTCCGCTTTGCCTTTCCCTTGAATCTTCCTCCGGAGGTATCTCTCTGTTAAATTCCATGGCTTTGTTACTTTTTTCTTCTTTTTTCATCCCTCTCCTCAAGCAAAATCTCATCTTTCTGAAGATTTTGTTTGCGTGGGTCTAGTCGCATTTGTTGCTTTGGGAAAGTTAGCATTTTTCTTGCAAAGATTTGATTTTTCCCATTTTCTTCTGGTTGAACGATTCTCATGTCTTCGGGGGATTAATCATCATGGCTCTGTTTGATTAAGTTTGTTCTGTATTTCACATATTTGAATTTTCCCGAGCAATCCCATTGCATAAAATGTGTTCTTCCTCTAACTTATGCCTTATGGATCTGCGGGACTCTTACGAAATAAAGAAGGAAAAATAAAAACATGAATTATTTCATATAGTATTTATCCCGATATATTGCATTGAATTCATGTGTATGTTGAAGGAATATTTGAATGAATTTGCTGCTTCTGCATTTTGATTTTGATGAGCAGGCTTGAAGTTCGTAGGACTGAATTGATAAATTGAGAAGATTCCTAGATCATGGAAATTGCCCCAGCTGACTGCCCCTTTCCAGGCTGTTTATTCTGTGTTATGAAAGAAGACAATCCGACAAAACGAAGGGCAGGCATTATCAAATTCTTCAAAGATCTTCCCCTACAAGATGAGGATGGGCAAGTTCTACCTATCAGTGGGCTTTGGAACACTGCCATGGCACATCCAAATGATCCTGAGTTCATTGAGCTGGGAATATTTGAATGCATGGCTGCATTGATTTGGAAGGGTTTGAAGAATCGGCGCTGGCTTTCTCGTGACCAGAACATATACATACCTTACTATGCTGCTCATATTATTGGATCTTACACAATGAACTTGGAAGAGTTTGCTGTTAGTGCTGTGAATGCTTTAGTTATTCCTCCCTTAGTTGAACTCTTGAGAGGAAGGCTAACATGGGTGGAACAAAGAGTAGCAGTTAGAGCTCTGGGGCACTTGGCTACCTATGCCAGTACTTTTCCGGCTGTTTCAAACCATGAGGAGGTTCTTGAGCTTGCCATACAGCTTGCTTTGAGCTCTTTGGAGATTGTTTACTCTCATTTTTACAAGTCAGTGGACAGGAGGCCGCGATATCACTGCGATCTTCTAACCCGTGGCATGGGGGGTACTGAGATGGAATCAAGGAAGGCAGAGGAATGGGCGAGCCAGTTGCAATGCTGGTCACTTCAGCTAATTAACTGCTTTGCATTTAAGCCTGAGTTTCTCCCAGACATTTGCAAGCCAGAATTTGTAATGAAACTACCAGGGATGTGGGGTGGACTTGTGAATGAGAATTCACCTGCAGGTATTGGATTGTTGAGAACTATCTGTCATCATAAGCTTGGTAGAGGAACTGTTGCGAACTGTCCTGGCATTTTGGAGGCACTACGCAACATTGCTCGCTCTTCAGATGATTGGCAATATATGGCAATTGAATGTCTCATTTGGTTACTTAAGGATCCATCAACTTGTCATAAGGTAGGATACATATACTTTTAGTATCATCCTGCATATACGCACATTCACAGCTTATAGAAGATCAGAATATGAAAATCGACCAAATCTTATTCATAAATGCATGTAGAAGTATTCGGTACATAGTAACTTAATACTGTGTTGTCTTCGCGCTCGTTCCTATTGCTTTTGTATTATTCTGTATGTAGTATTTCTACTGATTTTAAGTCAACTGAGCTGGAAATTCTTACTATTCTTGGAGCGCTAATCATTCGCGATGAAACTTGGAGGCCTATTGGTGAGATTGAAATTAAGCGTACCAATATTTGAGCGGAAGAAATTGCAAAAATGTGACTTTTTTCATTGATCTGGTCCATCTGGATATGAGATGCAAAGATTATGCATAACTTCATGATCTAAGCATTGTGAAATTTTAATCTAGTCATAGCATATTCAACTTTGAGTTTTGATCTAAGAGTTTATTCACTAGAACAAATAGGAGAGGGTAGACATTTTTTAAGGAGTTGCCAACTTTTAATGACATGAATTCTACTCTTAGAGGGATTATATTTGAGAGGTTCCTTTGTTTGTGGCATTTATTTTGCAGTATTATGGTACTTGGAGGGTAATTGTTTGGGTTGTTGGCATATTTAAACAATAGATAGATATAGATGAACTTGACATCTTAGTTTTGATAATATTTAGATCTCACCCAAATGGATTGACATCTATATGTTGAGTATTTGAACAATGAGCTGACACATAACATTTGACAGATAATGTTGAGGCAAAAACAAAGGATTTGATTGATAATATTGAATTAACTATCTAGTAGTGACGCGGCGCTGAAATTGAAGGCAAGGGGAATCGATCGGGTGGAATAGGCTACAAGCCAGCTGCAGGCAATTTTTGGTTCTATTTTATTTTTAAATTTCAGATTGTGTTCCTGTAGCCTTTTTGCCCAATTATAAATACTAGCATCTTTCCGCTGCGAAGAAGATTATCTTGTAGTAAGAGATATAAGAGCTGCCATGGGTTGGTTATTTTTTTTCTATATCCTGTATTGTTCTTACTTCGGGTGATGTTCTTCTTGGTTGCTTTTTCTATTTTTAGTTGCTTTTATTTGAGTCCATATGGTTCTGATATCATTTGATATCAAAGTCCAACAAATCCGGCACGATGTCATGTCGACGAATGAATCAATGACTCATTCAAGAAATCTTGATCCGAAAGTTGCAATGAGAGTTTCGTGGTTTGCAGAACAGGCTTACTATGATCAAACTTCAAATACTTGTTGAACGCCTGCGATAGACGAAGAACATGTTGAAGAAGATTAAATACTTTTCATCAAGACTTTTCCAATGTAGAAGAACAACCACATTGTCTTCTCAGGCTCACGAGATGAAAATAGCTCAGGGATTTCAAATTCTAGGTTGATATTCCCGAGTTTGAAGAAATATTGGATCCATATGAATTCATCAATTGGATACGTACAGTTGAAAGAATTCTTGAATACAAAGAGATACCATAAGATCGTACCATTAAATTGGTGGCAATCAAGCAAAAAAAAAAGTGTCCTTGTGATGGGAAAAATCTAAAGTTAATACAGAAGTGAGAAGGAAGAGCCAATGTCACCTCTTGGACTAAGATGAAAGAGGCGATGCAGCATAAGTTCTTGCCAAAACATTATCGGCAAGACTTTCTACAATTGCATAATTTACAAATTGCAAGAACTCACTGTTGAGGTATATGCCGCTGAATTCGAACAGCTTTGCTTAAAATGCAACTTGACTGAGCCTGAGAAGTGTTTGATTTCCTAGTGGATTGAGTCCCTCTATCATTAATATGGTTCATTTGCAACTTCATTGGACACTTGCAGATGCCATCAATGTTGCTCTCAAGGTTGAGCAGGTGGCGAACCTTGACCAAAGATGGAATTGGAAAATCAAGAGGTATTAGATTCATGAATGCTATTTCAGGTTGGCAGATAGAAGATTCATGTAGTGGATTGGTGGAAGAATATGATCTTCAAGAAAGAATTCCCAATCCATGAAACAAACACAAGCACTAAACTTCAAAATAGTACATATTTGATCAATAGCTCCATTCTTCTTACATCACTCTATATATACTAATCAATTAGAGAAGCTTAGAATATTCTAGAAACATGTAACAAACTTGTAAAATACTAAATCAGATATCCTAGGAACATTTTAAGCTAAAATGCTCCGCATCATTCTCCCCTTGCGTCAAAAGAACTCGGACTCCGTTGAGGCACGTTATAGGGAGGGAGATAGATGTAGAAATTGTAATCAATCTTCCTGGGTCCAAGACTTTGCGTTTTCGATGATTGTCATTGTTGTCAGATTTTTCCAATATAACTATAGACCCGGTGAGATGGTTATTGGAAACATCAAGCAGTTGCAACTTGTGCAAAGTGGTAAGTGAATTTGGAATGATGCTGGTGAGATTACTGTTGCTCAAGATCACCTTTGTCAGCCAAGGTATATTGGCATTTGGCAATCTCCATAGCAAAAGATCGCTCAAGAAGCTGGTTTGTGAAATTAAGGGTCACAATGTCCTCCTGCGGACTACAAATCACAATGAGCCACCCATTTTTTTGTAAACTCTTCTCCTATGATCCTATACTTGCCATAGGTTGACAAGAACAATTCAACATAAGGGAGCTCATCTACAATGATAGCAACACCATCTTTATTTTGTCCCAAATCAAGAGCTCTTGCAAAATCTTTTGGTTGTACTAAATGTTTGTGGAGATAAAGAAGACTGCAGTCGGTGCCTATAATGGTCTTAAATCTTGTTTCCCAATCCAATTTTGGTTGCTCAGTTGGATCAAATAATTTCTCAACACTCGTCTTAGGGAGACATTCATCAACAAGCATAATTTCACTATATTCCAAGCAACAACCCAACATTCTAAAAAGGTTCTTGTGCTGAAGATTGGCAACCAAAGCAACCTCATTCTTCATTTCTACAAATCCCTTGTGTTGAAGTTCTTGAAATTTGTTTTACAGCTATCAGTTGTCCATCTTCTAGTAAACCCTTATAAACTGCCCCAACAAATTTGGGATCCGATGATTCAGTGACATTTCGTCAAACAGCTTGGGAGCGTTGCGTTGGATTAGCTTTGTTAGTGGACTTCACATCAAGTATTTGCACACGTGTAATGAAAACGTTCCCAATACCAACATTGTAGTTGTCAGTCGACTCAGTCTCCCATGCATCCTCATATTTGTCATTATCTTCACCCGAGGTAATAGAAATGATGTCAACTTCACTGTTTTCTTGAGTGAACGGAGGACCATGACTGATGTAGATGACCCCTTTTCTCTTCCAATCCCAAGCGGTACCAAAAACATCATCATTGTAAATCTCTATCGAGTTTGGGCCATCAGCATTAACTACGGATGCACCTGGGAGACTCACATAGGCAATTTTCCCACCATCTAGTGAGAAGGAAGGAAAAGAACCATTACTCCTCATCAATAGTGAAAACTTCTCTGGTAATATGCTCTTCATGTTCTCCAGAAGCAATGGAGAGTTGCCACTGCTTTGGCTGCTACGACATCTATGGTAGCCAATCCTATTGGCGTCAGGAGAGGAAGGGTTAAAATGATGAACGCTAGGGGTAGCAATCCTAGTGCTCTCAACATAAGCATTTCTCCCATCTCTGAGATCAATGAGATCAATGTACCAGAACTGGGAGTTGGCTCTCGTTGTCGCCAATACTATAAGTTCCGGAGCATTCGAACCAATCAACACAAGGGCGTCCTCGCACTCTGCCAGAATTTCATCAGAGTTATTTTTTTCTTCACAAAATTGCTTTATGGCATCCAATCCCTACTGCAGTTCACAATCAGTAGTGGCGGAGTGCGGGCGTAGATCGTGCGTGAGTGCGAGGTCGGGCATGGGGTTGCCGAAGCAGAGCGAAAGCGAGAGCAGGGTGGTGTCGGGGAATGAAATCGCGTTGGAACGGGTTCAGATCATGGCTTTGGACGTGAGAGGAAGCGGAGGTGGAATCGGTGTTGGCGAAGATTGAGTGGTCTTGCTTCGCAGCATCCATAGGCAAGAGGCCCTCATGCGACATGCTGTAGGAATCAACTCCCATGGACGATTTGAAGCATTATTCTTGGGAGGCAAGTTCTCCTTTGGCATTTGAAACAATATTCACATAGTCGTCCATGAAGGCATTGTTCGAGAGGTCCATCGTCTTGAGGCTTTGGAGCTGGGTCGAGCGATCGGGAGGCACTCGGATTTGGGCTCCAAGTTGGTTCTTGTGTGCGGGTGGCCGAGGAGGTCATGCGAATCGCTCTCCCTCGACCAAGTGGATATCAGCGGCGATGCGAGACTCTGGAAGCACGAGCGAATTTGATCAGGAAATTGTTTGTTGGAGTGGAGGCGGACACATGTGGGATGTAACATGCTGGAGCGCAGGAATGATCGCGGGTTCCGAAGGCTAGTGCTGGGTTGGATTGCGGGAAGAAGCAGAGGCGGAATGGGGCTGGAGTGGAGGCAAGTCGTGGGTTGATTGCTGACCAAATGGTCGGGCAGGGTATTCCGCCATTGGAGTGGAAGTTGGAGTGGAGGATAGTAGGGCGGCGAATTTGGTCGAATAACTAAGCATGATAGGTTTCATAATACCTACTCATTTCACAAAGACGATACTTCTGTTGTGCTCTGCCACTAAAGGAGAATGTGCCTACTGAGGGCGATAGCAAAGTAGTTTTGCCGTAGTTGTTCTTTCAGGTTTTCATGCAGAGTGCTCATGGTTTGGCCTTTAGTATTGCTAGAAGAAAATCCAAAATAGGCACCACCACCCGAAATTATTCCGTTTTTGTTGCAGCAATTGGCTGATGTATTCCCCCATTCCATTTTAGCTGGACTCCCTCAGATGTGAGAAGCACAACAAGTTGTTGATTTCATTTCGGGATCAGCCATATCTCATTGTCTCACCTACCATATGTCACCAAAGGAATATGAGGAGCTTCAATGCCGGGTGGATGACCTGATTACAAATGGTTTGCTGCGTCCCCTTCAACCAGACGATCTCCTTGATCAACTACATAAGATAGCGTATTTTTTTCAAAATCGGCTTAAAAAGTGGCCATCATCAAATCCGAATGCGTATGAGTAGAAAACATCATTCAAATGCGTGACAAATTGTATGAATTGATTGTTATGCAATTTAAACTATTCAATGCACTAAGCACTTTTTCTGCTCAATGAATCAGATTTTTTATTCTTTATGGATAAAGTTTGTGATCGTCTACTTTGGTGACATCCTTGTATATAGTCGAACGGTGGAAGAGCACGTTCAATGCTTATCACAAGTGTTCAAAGTTATCTAGGAGCAACAGTTGTTCGCCAATCCCACGAAGTGTGAATATTTGGGAACCAGAATAAATTTTTTGGGCTTTGTAATTTCGGCTACAGGTACGGAGATAGACGAGGTAAAAATTGAGTCCATTGTGGACTGTTTGATGGCCCCAATCACCGACCGATGTAAGGAGGTTCCATAGGCTAGCTTCTTTCTATTGCCAATTCATTAAACACTTATGCTCTATTATAACACCCATGACCAAACTCCTAAAAATCTCTCCATTTGTTTTAACCAAACAAGCTCATGATAGTTTCGATCAACTGAAGCTGCTTGTGACCTCAACATTGGTGTTAGTGCTCTGTTATTTCAATGTCTTTGAAGTAGAATGAGATGCCGCTAATGCATGAGAGCGGTTTTGAGCCAAGGTGGACATCTAATTGCATATTTTAGTGAGAAACTCAATAAATGTCGATGGAGATACTCACCTATGACAAAGAATTTTATATTTTTGTGCGAGCTCTCCAACATTGGAGTCATTATCTATTGACTTATGAATTTGTGCTGGTCTCATATCACGAAGGCCTTAAATTTATTCATAATCAAAACAAATTGACAGGCAAGCATGCTAAGTGGATGGAGTATCTTTCTTCATTCCACTATATTTTGCTACAAAATATTTATAACCTTCTTCTTTTCAGTCCCAAAACAAAATATTTACTTTGTTATAACGTCTTGTTATTCTTATAAAATGGCATTGTGGTGTCCTCTACGTGCACTAAGGTGTGGCATTGGTTGGCTTAATAGGTGATAGATATAGCAGCACCAGCTCTTATAGATCTTGCTGAAATTTCCAAGCTTGGTGATCACCTAAGGCTTGGCGACTCCATTGTTGAACTCCTTCAAGAAAGTTTGCAGACCTGTCATTCCATAAGCAACCATGTAAAAGAACAAATCCAAGAGCTTGTGATCTCCAGGCAGAGATTAAAATGGGAGAAGAACATGTCCAAGGAGGATCTTCACATAAAACAGGCAGCTGCACTTGTTGTCAAGCTGGAAGGGAATTCTCTATTTTCTTCAGGAAAGATTGCTGAAGCTGCCTCTAAGTACTCAGAAGCGTTGGCCTTGTGCCCAATGAGATCCAAAAAGGAGAGAGTTGTACTCTATAGCAACCGCGCACAATGCCATCTTCTCCTACAGCAGCCCATGGCAGCCATTAGTGATACTACACGAGCTTTATGCCTCCACAAACCATTTAATGGCCACGCCAAAAGCTTGTGGAGAAGAGCTCAAGCACATGATATGCTTGGTCTAGGCAAAGAGAGCTTGTTGGATGCCATTCTCTTCATCAACGAGTGCTCCCAGTCCAAAGATACTGAGCTATCGCTGAGACAGAATAGAGTTCCAGATTATGCCACCAAGTTATTGAAGAAGCAAATGAGATTTACATGGCTATTTCGAGAAGCCGCCATGAAACATGGTGCTGTATATTCTGAGTATTATAATGGCGATGCACAAAATTTTAGGTTTCATTTGAGACGGCTTTTTTATTGCTTTTTTAAAGTGGAGTTTTTGTTAAAAAATTAAAATTTTTATACTAAAATTTCATTTTAAAAGGCAATGAAAAAATCGTACCAAACGAAGCCTTAATCATACATTTCAAAGCAAAGAGAGATTGAATTATTTTGAAGTGTATGATACAATATTGTATACTAAAACATTCACAGTTAGCAGGTAAAGCTTCCTTAGCATAGAGGGAAACTTCAAAGAGAGAGATTCTCTATGGAAAAAGTCTTCATCATTAACCATAAAATAAGCAAAATTTTCAAATGATTAAGAAAGCAAACTCCATTATACCTCAAACCTCCCAAAAATAAGTTGCCAATTGTTAGAAAAACCTTTGTGCCACACAAATTTAGACCAAATGCATTAAGCTAATCTAAACAAAAAGAACCTTTTAGTGTGAGCTATAAATTTATTTTCTTTCAAGTTTCAAAGCATATTGTTTTTATCCAAAATAAATAGGTGGATTTAACACCATACAAGCAAGTAGAATAATGCAGCCTAAAACATAGAGTAAAATCCGACAATTTATATAAATAATGACTTCCAAGTTAGAATTCAAAGTAAGAAAGGAGAAAGCTAGATCACCCAAAAACTCATACAAGAAATTTCCCTTAATCCAAGGGTTGTAAAATATAGAATAGCTAAGTAAATCCCCAATAGTGAAAGCAAGCCAATTGTGCATGGCAGTAGTAGCAATTTGGAAGTTCCTTTCATAATAAAGAAACCTTTCCAAGAGAATTTACCCAAATAGAGCCATGACAAGCTTTGTACTAAGAGCAAAAGGATTATAACATTCAGTTTCCAAATCAATTTTTTTTAAAGGGAGAGTTGAGAGTGAAGAGGTAAGGAATACTCTGACCATTTTTCTAAGGCAATTTAGCTTTATTCCAATATATGATATAGAACTTTATAAAGTCTCCCCCATTAAAAAAAAATAAAATAAAAAAGCTATAAAAGATATTTGTTTACAACAATTTCAAGTACATAAATATATTTGTCAATAAGATAAATAGTTCAAAAATATAAGCACCTATTCTTCATGAGACTTCAATTAACCTATTCTTCGACAAGAATTGACAATTGGGAATAAGCACCTCCCTAGAGATGCCACTTATTGCATATAATATATAATTGATGGGAAAGATGTAATAAAGAAAAAATAGTTGATGTTTTAAGGGTTTGAAGATATTTATATAGATATATAATGCTGATATTTAAGAAAATATACTTGATCTAATAGTGAGATTGTGTGAAATAGGAGGAAGTAATATTACGAAAGAGGATGATTAATTATAAGCCTAAACTATAATAGACGAATGAGGGTGTTCAAAGAAGCTTATTGATTGAGATAACATATGAAGCTTAAAAGGGGTTGTAATTGCACTTGTGAACATTCAAGTTCCTAAGAGTTGTGAGGCAATCTTACTTGATAATTGGGTGTGAAAGGAACAATAGCCTTAGTATGAAACTCTCTTGCATATAGTCCCCTACTCCATCTCCTTCTAGGAGGAAAAGTAGAATCCTTAGATTAGAATGGACAATATATTCTGTTATCGGCAAATATATTGTAAGATGGCCATACATCTGATTTCTAATCATATTCCACTCATGCAAAAAAATTTGTATTAATTAAAGTTAGTAGGAGCAAAATTTCAGGGTGTTCTAACGACATAAAATGACATTTAAAAATTCAACGCAAATACTATTTCCTTAAAATCTTACTATACTAGTTTGAAGTCTCAAATCCACTTCTCAAAAAAAAACAAAAGAAAGGCTATTTCATTCATGAAACAAGAACCCCTCATTAGTATTGAGGGATGGAAGTTGAAAGACCACACCAATCTTAATGCTAGTTGTTTGATGGAAAGAAAGCATGCAAAGCGAATATCTCTAACAGCCCCAACAAGGCTTTGGGCCAAAGTAGTACGGGACTGCAAGGTTAGGCTTTAGCCCGCTATTGACCAATCAAAGGAACTTTTATTTTATCCAGTGAACGTACGCTCCTCTACGTTCGGTTCTGAGCAAAAAAAGCGCAATACCGAGTACTCGGTATTGCGCTGCTTTGGTCTAAAACCGAACGTAGAGGAGCGTATGTTCACTGGATGTAATAAAAGTTCGAATTAAAGAGGATTAGATTACGCTTTAGGCCAACTGGTTTCGTATTTCTTCGACATAACATAAGAAGTTTTTGTGGCCAACATTTAATACGAGCTTTTTTTTCAATAAAATTTCAACATTGCTAATTAAAAGCAATTATAATCATTTTTATTGTGGTTCTTTAGTAGATTGTTTTTCTACAAGCAGCAAAAGGAAGCGAACCAATATTGAGCATTCTCAACTTTTACATAAAATAAAGAAAATCTTCGTTTGAGATAGTTTTTCTTTTATTACTTCTTATAAAAAAATTATTTAAAAAAAAACAACAAAAAAATCACCCCAAACAAAACTTAAGCCTTCATCTATCAACTTATTTGTGGTTGCCGGTCAGAATAATTTTAATTATATAAAAATACATTTAAATTTTTTATTTAATTTACACAGCCTCTCCACAATAATATAAATAAAAAAAATATTTCTTAAAGTGAATAAATAAAATATTTTTATATAGTACAATACCACAACATGTTTAACTTTTGAGCTTTCAAAGTTGCCAGCCTCATCTACTTGTTAACGGCCTTAACCTTGAGGGAAACCAACAGCAGCAAGTTATACAATTCAAAAATCGTTATCATAAAATTGAAATTCATGGGGGGAAAAGAGAGAAAAAGATACACAATTAGTTCGGCAGAAGCTTGTAACTAAACAATTTATAGAAACATTTTATTTCAGATAGAGAACTAGACAACATATCATCATATTAGTTGTAATAGATCATCCTCACAGGAAAAGCATTGCAGTTTAGATCAACTGATACCCATCAATTAAAAATATTAGTGGTACAAAACCAAATAATCCCATTTGAACCAAACTTTCACAAGAAACTCTTCTAAATCCACCACCATTGCACGGATCTTTGATAAAATTTAGGAACAAAAAATGGACCAATTTGAAGGAAGAACTGCAAGAAGACAGAACCAGAGCTACATTTTAATGGTGAAATAATCAGAATCGAAGTGATGCAGTCTGATATAGCCATCTTCTCCGCCGCTCGAAAAGCTAACAAAACAAAACGGTTAGAATTAGCCCAAAATATAAATACACTAACGCAAAGAAATGAGTTCAAACCCTCCACAAATGCCAGTTTCCAAGATATTCAGTAATAAAACAATCAAACTATCCCATGATAAGATAAAAAATAATCCAGTAAAAAGCCATAGAGTTGAAAATACAGATCATGTAGATACATTATATGAGAAGACTATTCCAGAAATATCATCAAATCCTAAAAAATTACATAATTACCTCATTAAGGAGAAATGAAGGGTAGCAAATCATAGGCATTATCATTTTCAAACGAAATTACATGTCGTAGAATCCCATGTATTCCATCTCCATATCCCAAATCAAAACATTCAAAATAAACATTATCATCACCATTAGCCCCTTGCCAAACTATTTAGTATTGGATTTATGAATCCTCATTCTACATTCTCCTGTTCAAGACTCATTAAGATGTTAAATTTTTTATAGGTAAACTCATTGTACGCAAATTCTATCCATATAACCTTTGGTAAATCCTTTTCCTCATTAATCCTTTTTTTTATACAAATATGATCTAACAATCTCATTGATGCATCTTCTATCATTTTGTTGTACATACAAATCACATAATCTCTCATATAATCATTTCACAAATCTAAATTTTGGGACATATACAACTTAAAATTTTCATCTTTGCCTCGTTCAACTAAGCTATATTACACTCGATGCTTGAATCAATAATATCCTAAATATATTTCTTCCTTTTGACCCCTCAATCTTAATTCCATAAGTTATAGCCCACATTTAAATGCTTAATCACCAATAAAATAAATCCTAAGTACTTAAACCTATCACACACATCACTTAATCTTCTATCAATATCAACTGATAATTATATAAATTCTACACTCATTAAAATCTTGTATATACTAATACAAACCCTTTATAAGTAAATTACAGCCTCCATGATAGGTACAGGTTAATCGCATAGGCCCCATTTGAAAGTGTGATGCAATAGAAAAATGCCCCATTATACAACATCTGTTGCTGCCTATTAAAGCTTGCAACAAGGCAAATGTTTAATTACTTAACAATTCCAGGAAACAATTCTCCCAGGAGGACGCATGCCTGGTTTTTCACCATGCTATAGAGGCTTCAGCTACATTTACAAACCAGGCCTTACCACCAATTCTGCAACGACATGGATTATATCATTGGAACGCTCATTTGGCTAACTTCGTCTTTTTAGCCGTCAAAAAGAGGAAGCAGACATCTATGATTTTCTGCTAAGCTTGCGATGTTGATATTGTGATAGTCCAAGTGACCAACAGATAAAACTAATCAGCTCACAATACATCGCTGCCATCAGAAACTTAGCAAATCACATTTAATTCTTTACTTAACGACTTAGATTAAGCTCTAGAACTAATATCACTATATATAATGCATTCATTTTTATAATAAAAATAAGGTACTTAAACCTACCCAATTTAGAATAACATTATTTTCTACTAATATTAGATCATAATTAATAATACAACATCTATTAAAACTGTATATCATATAATAAATCATTATCTACCAATCCTAAACCCATTTTCTTCTAAACATTTCCTATATTATTCAAGCTTTTAACTTATTCAAACAAATGTGTTATCAATTAAAACTATCATTTAAAAATTATATATACACCAACATACATCACTTTGATTATTCTTATTATGCATCTCCATAACCATAATACGTACTATTGATCATTGATTTAAACCTTCAATGATTTAAACTTCTTGGTCACTCCATACTTTAACACGCTCCACTTTTGCATACCAAATAACTCTTATGATACTCAACCATATATACCTTCTCAAGAATAATATAAACCATAAGAAGATCCTTTCCAAGTTCTTAATATTCATACGTCACTTAGATCATCCTTATTAAGCATCTCCATAACTATAATACATACTTTTGATTTTTGATTTAAAACTTCAGTGATTGAAACTTCTTGGTCACTCTATATTTTAACACACTTCGCTTTAATAAATGCATACCAAAATAACTCTTATAGTACTTAATAATATACACCTTCTCAAGAATAATAGAAGCCATATGAAGATCCTTTCTTAGCTCTCTATATTCAACCATTAATTGCCTTAGCAAAAATCACATCTATAATTAAACTTCCTAGTATTAATCCAATATAAATTTAAATTTTCTAAGCCAAAACCATCTCTAGTAAATTTTTTAAATTAGTCATAAATTTGAATCCCCCATAATTACAATGATCATAAATATTTTCTTAATTTTTAATAGTAGTGTAAAAATACTACTCCAATCATTTAACATAATCTTAATTTTTAATTTTCAACATAAAAAAAATTGCTGACCAAATTATTCAAATAACACATAAAAGTTTTACCTATATGTATTTTTTCCAAAGCGAACTCTGCTAATTTATTTTAAACTATAATATACCATGCTCTTCATCATGCATTTCCAAAAAGAATTCTTTTCCTCAACAGTCATGGTTAACTTCAATCAAAAACAATAATTTGGCCAAATACATCATTTTCTCTAAAAGAAAGCGAAAAACAATTGAGGATAACTTTCTACCCACCCTCCCTATGTTAACATTGTGATAGTTTGATAGAAATAAAACAAAAGCAGCAGCCAAAAGTTAATTTTATTCATATATTATACACAATAACATAATTAATTAAAAAATTGCTATTAATCTAGCCAAAAAGTTTGAAAATAAATATTTTTAGCACAGTTTGGCTACGAGTAAGGATTTATTTTAGGGGGTATTATACAAAACACCCAAATTTTGACTATTTATAAAACTACCACCCATGTTATTTTTGAAACTATCAAACTCATCCATTTGCTTTTGTCATGATCAAACCATTGGAATATTATCAAAAGCAAAAAATACAAGTTGGGATTTCGATATTTGAGTGTCAATTTAAAAACTGAAAGTAGAAGAGTGGTAGTTCTGTAAATAACTAAAATTTGAGTGTTATATATGTAATTTCCCCTTTAATTAAAGTAAGATTAAATGAATCATATAAATCCAAATCTTGTTGGCTAAATCTTGGTCAACAATTTTGTTGTCAGCTTAAGGATTTATAATTTAAATGAATAAAAAATTTAATCATGAACAAAAAAAAGGATTTTGGCTAAACAACAACAAATCAACAAATTCCAGTAGTAGATATGCCTAATCTATGCAGATCTGAGCATATCCAACAGCTCAAACGCCAACACACAATTAAAATGATAAAAATCATAGCAAATTGACAACTATGCATTGGCGACAAAGGATGCAAGAGGGTGGTGTGAAAAGAGAGATCGAAGATAATTAGCATAAGAGTAGAGGAAGTGGTAGATGTCGATAAAAATCTATGATGCAAGGACACTTCTTAATGAGGTTTGCAGTGTCCGACATATATCAAATACGGCACGCGTTCGACACGCATCCGATATGTATCAAATACGTCGAAGATGTGTCCGACTAAACAATTATTAAAAATAAATTAGACACGCGTGTCCAACATGTGTCTTAAATATTTCATGAAAATTTTTTATTTTAATTCTTATATTTCAATTTTGTATTTATTAAAAAATAAAAACTAAATTACTTATTTCCTTTTAATAATCCCAAATCAATTGTCTGCACTCAATACTTAATTCCCTAAACATACCATTTTCGTTTCTCTCTAATAGATAGCAACTATGATTTCATAACAACGTATAATGTCATCGCAACATTGATGTTCGACGCCACAACACCAATGTTTCAAAATTATATGAAAATCAAATTTTGATGCCAGCAATTTACCCCCACAATCACGCTCTCCCGTCGTCTCGACATCTCATCTTTGCCTAACATCATCTCAAAATAGACGACTATATTGTCTTGAACAGATGCTCAATGCCAAACTCCTAACAACATTTTCGTCTCCCACTCTATGATGCTTGAAACATGAAATCCGACTCTTGGCACCCTAATATTATTCATTTTAAGCACAAATCCTAATTAAATGATTTATTATTTTTTAATTATTCTTAATATTATGCTTACTTAATTTCTATAAACTATTTTTAGGATATAAACATTGTAATGTCGTGTCCAACCCGTGTATGTTTCCTATATTTTTAATAATTGACGAGTCCTGTGTCCGAGTCGTGTCCATGTCACCATATCTGTGTTTGTGCATCATAGATAAAATCCCTAAATGATGAAAAAGTGTCAGCTTAGGATAAAGTTGTCAAACGAGGGTTTGTGCTTAAAATTAGAGAAAAAACATTATATTATCCATGAATGCAACACAGTGTGAAGAAGATGCAAAGAAAGGAAAAGGAGCTTGCTATTGAGGAATATGTGTTAATGGAGCTCATAGTGAAGTAATAAGTAACAATGAACAAGACAACCAGTAAAATCCACTAAAAATCTCCTCCAGAGATTTGTTAAATTATATTAAAACCAAAATGAGAAGCAAAAAATATCATTTAATCCAGCAGCAAGACTTACACCAAAAAACTATTTGACTTTATCTATATCTCAGTTAGATCCAATATATACATTACTTGGCTTCCCTTTCAAGGAGTCAATCATCATAAATGGTGAAAATCATACTAAGGTGCTATTTGGTTTGAAGTAAAGTGAGCGTAAAACATTCCAAATGCAAGGGTTTTAAGAATATTGGTGTTTTATTTTAAGTAAAATAAATGTAGTTGGAATTCACCCTCTAGTTCATTCTTAGGTATTGTTTGGTTGGCTAAAAAGTGGTAGACGACTGTGGGAGGCGTTGACGACTAGCTGTGGTGGCGAGCTGTAGCAACAACGATGGCAATTGGCAATGGTGGCAGGAGGTGGCCGACTTGGGCAGAGGCTGCCAATAGTGGTAGCGACGGCGATGGTGGCGGGCCGTGGCGGCGGTGGTTGGCGGCTGATGGTGGCTGTGGCGGTGGCAGATGATGGATGGCAGATGGCGGCAACATATGATGGATTG